ATGGGAAAGTCATTGGATCTGTTCACCCAATTGGAATAACTACGACAGCTTCACAAAAGAATGGTGCTAAATAGTAAAAAAAAAAAGGCTCATGATTGTCCATTACTTCTTTCATAGCAACATCCCCAGGTTTAGGAAAAAAGTTTCTCAGGTGAGACTTTGCCTATTCAAGCACAAATTGATGTGAATGCAAGTCCATTTAACCCGGCTGATGCATACAGCCAACCTGGACAAATCACATGACTCCCTCCCAAAATTATTTTAAAATGTAAATTTTCCAGGTTGACAGTTTACACTAATCAAAATATCTAGAATATTTCCAAATCCCCTCCACATATTTTTCAGTGCAGAGTCTCCACAAGTACATAACCCCAAACAAGCATAACCCTTTATCATTTATATAATTTAAGCAATAAATATGTTTCTTCTAAAACTCAATTAGCAAGGAGTTTCAATTTGCTCCTTCGTGTTTAGGGCACTGCTCTGATGTACAGCTTCAGGAATTACACTATAGAGTAATCTGGGTCAGGGACAGCCTGGATAAAAGGGTGCAAAAATAATCTTAGGTTTCATTTCAAGAAGTGCATTTAAACCTGCTCCTTCTTCCTAGAAAAGCAGCAAAAAGAAGGTAGTGCAGGCAGAGACCAGGTTAACTATGGCGCAGCAGATGTTGGCTTCTGGTCCATGACCAGAAAGCAGACGCCACAATTATCCAGGTCGGCTAAATTTTCAAAGCACACTTCTGGTAGAGAGTGATGACCATTACTGCTTTTTCAGAAAGGACTTTAAAGAAGTGGCACTAAATGGAGAGAGTATCAGCACCCGCCTGGTGGGACTGTTTTAATAATGAGTTAATACGTGTAATAGGCTTAACACTGGCCAGGACACCAACCAATACCTGTTCGCTGCTGTTATTATTTCTATTACTGCAAATAAAAACATCACCAATGACTCCCTTTGTCAGCAAAACTTTTTTTTCTTTTCTTTTCTTTTCTTTTCTTCTTCTTTTTTTTTTTTTTTTTTTTTTTTTTTTTTTTTTGGGCNTGGGTCAGGGACAGCCTGGATAAAAGGGTGCAAAAATAATCTTAGGTTTCATTTCAAGAAGCGCATTTAAACCTGCTCCTTCGTCCTAGAAAAGCAGCAAAAAGAAGGTAGTGCAGGCAGAGACCAGGTTAACTATGGTGCAGCAGATGTTGGCTTCTGGTCCATGACCAGAAAGCAGATGCCACAATTATCCAGGGCGGCTAAATTTTCAAAGCACACTTCTGGTAGAGAGTGATGACCATTACTGCTTTTTCAGAAAGGACTTTAAAGAAGTGGCACTGAATGGAGAGAGTATCAGCACCCGCCTGGTGGGACTGTTTTAATAATGAGTTAATACGTGTANCAGCCTGGGAAGTGGAGTGGGACCGGGGCTGACCACCCGCCGGCAGCAGCCCCGGGCGCCTCCTGGTCTCCCTCCACCCGTCTCCCGGGCCTCACCCTCCGGGAGGTCGGTGACGATGGCCTCGGGCGAGATGCACACGCCGCGGTCGTAGACGGGCAGCTCGTCGCAGGCCAGGCTCTCGGGCCAGCTGTGGTTGTACCTCTTCATGAGGGGCTCGCAGTCGTCGCGCGCGCGCTGGCACACCGACTTGCACGGCTTGATGGGGTCGTGCAGGAACTCCAGGGTGCAGATGGGCGCGTACATGGCGCAGAGGAAGAAGCGCAGCACGGCGCTGCAGTTCACGTCCACCAGCTCCTCGTACTGCTCGATGGCCAGCACGGCGTTCTCCTGCGTGCTGTGGTGCAGGTGGTTGGGCATCCGCGTGATGTTCCAGGGCATGTGCCGGCACATGGGGATGCGCACCGCCTCGCAGGGCGCACCGCGCACGCCCAGCGCCAGGCGCAGCCACAGGCACAGCGCCACCAGGACGGCGACGAGCATGGCGCTGCCTTCCCGCGCTGCCGCCCCTCTTCTTCCCGTCCCCCTAGTCTGTCGCCGCGCCTTCTCCGAGGGGGAAGTCCTTTGGGGCGCAGGAGAGGCTCTCTCCCCCAACTCCGGTGGCCAGCCAGGCGGGGCCGC